GCTGCTGTGTTTTAGGCATTGCTGGGACGCAATAGTAAATGAGACAAATGAGTTCTCCCATTTCTTAGTGTGAGAGATAGACAATAAACAAATAAATAAATATATAACGTGTTTGGTAGAGGTGGATTCTATGAAGAAAAATGAAACAAGGTAAAGGTTTGGGGAATGACAGGGGTATTGCCCTGTATTGGGTTGCCAGGGAGTGTTCTCTGAGGAGAGAACACTTAAAAGAACACTTAAACACTTTCTAAATGAAATAAGAAGGTGCCCAATGAGAATAGCTAGACCAGTGGGTCTCAACCTATGGGTCGCGACCCCTTTGGGGGTCGAACGACCCTTTCATAGGGGTCGCCTAAGACCATCGGAAAACACATATTTCCGATGGCGATTCACAGCAGTAGCAAAATTACAGTTATGAAGTAGCAACAAAAATAATTTTACGGGTGGGGGTCACCACAACATGAGGAACTGTATTAAAGGGTCGCGGCATTGGGAAGGCTGAGAACCGCTGCTCCAGACTACGCAGTGCATCTCACATGAGCATCTCAGCAAAGGCAAAGGCCCTGAGGCAGGGTGAATGACTTCCTCATAGTCCAATGAAATCTGGACAGAACTCTTTCTTTCTAATCAGACAACCCCGAATCTCACTGCCACTTGAGAGTTAAGCCTGATGATCATGTCTCCCTATCCTTGTAGGTTTTATGGTCAAGCTAAGAAGGCTCCACACCTGTCCCTTCTCATTGTAGTTTGTCCATTTCTCCACTGAGTCCAGCTTGCTTTGGCATTCGGCATTCCTAATATTGTCAGCCTTCTAACTAGATCCTGGGCGAGGGGCAGGGATGTCAAATTGAACAGACTTGAGGGTTGGAGTCCCATGGGAAATCTCCAAAGGTTCCCCCTACCCCTCAGGTTGACAGTGGAGACTCCCTTAGGTCCCTCTTATTAGCTTTACATTGTCCAGAGCATTCTTCTCAAAAGAAGATGGAAATGTAATTGGAGATGAGTGGTTCAGCTTTCTGTATACCACCTGTGAACTATATACAGTCTGTACTAAGCAGCAGGCTGAAATGTTATCAGACATAAATGATACTCAAGTCATAAGTGAATACAAGGCATGAACATATGCTTGTTGATTGACTTAGAGTCATTCATTTACGACACTAGTAATTTAAGAGTCTCATCATTTTCTACCTTCCATATCCAGAACACTGACAGATACTTAGTGCGCTTTCAATAAATGTTTATTAAATAAACATATGTGTGAGTATCATGGAGGATATTTAGGAAAAAACCTCAAGTGGGATCTGAGACCCTGGCACCACTAAGTTATGATTTTTCCATCTCATGGTGTTCCCATGATGTGTTGCTACATAACAAAACATCCCCAAACTTAGTGACTTAAAACGACTACAACAGCCCTGGCCGGTTTGACTCAGTGGTTAGAGCATCGGCCTGCGGTCCCCAGAGACCCTGGTTCGGTTCCCGCTAAGGGCACGTACCTCAGTTGCAGTTTGTCCCCGGCCCTGGTTGGGTTGTGCGGGTGGCAACTACTCGATGTGTCCCTTTCACGTCGATGTTTCTCTCTCTCTCTCCCTCTCCCACTCTATCTGAACTAAATATCAAAAAATGTCCTCGGGTGAGGATAAAAAAAAAAATGACTACAACAGCCCTGGCTGGTTTTGCTCAGCAGTTAGAGTGTTGGCCCGCTGACCAAGGAGTCACGGGTTCAATTCTGGTCAAGGTCAAAGGCACGTACCTCGTTGCATTTCAGTCCCTGGCCCTGGTTGGGGTCATGCAGGAGGCAACCAATCAATGTGTCTTTCTCACATTGATGTTTCTCTGTCTCTCTCTCTCTGTCTCTGTCTCTCTCTCTCTCTCTCTCTCTGTCTCTCTCCCACTCTGTCCAAAAATAAATGGAAAAATATCCTCGGGTGAGGATTAAAAAAAATAAACGACTACAACATTTATTTTGCTCATGAGTCTGCAATTTGGCCAGAGACAGCTGTGTGTCTGCTCCACTCAGCATAAGCTGGAGCAGTTTGAAGCTTCCAAGGCTCACCGCTTGCATGTTTAGTGGTCGATGCTGGCTGTCGGCTCAGACCTCAGCTGAAGCCATGGCTGGCATGCTGCAAGTGGCCTTTCCTTGCAGGTGATTGGTGTCCTCGGAGTGTGGAAGCACCCAGAGAAAGTCAGGCAGAGCCCTGTGGCCTTTTACGACCTACCCTCATAAGCCAAAAAGCATAGCTCCTGTCACATTTTAGTCACTAGCAAAAAGTTATGAAGGACAATCTGTATTCAAGAAATAGTGGGAGACACGAAAGAAAAAAAAATGGTGGGGGAATGTTTTCAAACCACTGCTGGTGGGAATGGATGAGACTAATAAGTGATCTTTTTGTTGTTATTGAGCTATAATTGACATATAACGTTATATTAGTTTCAGGTGTACAACATACTGATTCGGTGTTTGTTTCCACTGAGAAACGGTCACCACAATAAGTCTAGTTAACATGCATCACCACACATAGTTACAACATTTTTTTCTGTGACCATTGTTCTTAAGCAACACATGCTAAAGAGGCCACCTGCCTTCTTAGAGATGGGCCACAGAGCTTCACTGAGTGAGAAAAAAAATGCCTGCAAGTCCACTTAAAGCTCCTTTGGGAATCCGGCCTCTTGATATGTTTGAAATGTGTGTCTCCATAGCTATATCCAGAAGAAACAGATTCCTCTGTTTCCCAAATAAAAGGAAGATGGATTTGGAGTTCGCCATGGGTGCAAATTATAACAGTTGAATATTTCCACATTCAATCAAAAGGGGGTGCCCAGAAAGGTAATACCTAAATAATGTTTGGCATGGCATCTGAAAAGAATCAAGTGCCAGCGAGACCCTCCACACAGTCAATGTCTTTGGATGTCTGCATATTTTCCCTCTCAAGTTTGGCAGATTCTTCAATAGCATATGATAGAGACTGCTGCAAGTCCATCCAATCCTGCTTGCTTTTACTCCTTGGTGCACAGCTTGACTACATTTGCCAGCATCACTTACAGTTAGGTGAGACCATGTGATTGAGTCCTGGCCTAAGAGATGAGGTATAAAAACTCTAGCACAGCCCTCTATCTTGTCCTCTTTTCCCGTCCACTGGCTGGATGAAGTAAACTTCTAGGACCTAAAGGAGGGTAGAGTGACTAGAGAGAAAGGGCCTGGGTGCCTGAGTCACTGCATGGAGGAGATCTGCCTCACCAGAAACATCAGTGTATATAATGTCACTGTATGAATGGGAAATACTCTTATTGCATGAAGCCACTTCGGGGGCTGTTTGTAATAGTCTGCCTACCCTGACTGTGAGGTTGAATTATGTGTCAGAGAATGTTCATTCCCCTTCCTCTCCCACCATGGGTGGAATATACTTGCCCAATCCATAGATGGTGAGTTTGGCCAATGGGATGCTGACAGACATGAGTTGACATGATATGCTTTTGCACACACCTCAACACTTCTGCATTTTTTTGTGCTACAGCCCTCTTGCTGTTTTGTCATCACCTTGAGAAGAACAAGCTCCAGTTAGATCCTGGTCCAGAGGATAAAACACCTGAGGAGCAGACCTGGTTCTCACCAGCAGCTAGGAGCCATGCCCAGTCTCGTCCAACCCAGCAGCAGATGAATGAGCAAGAAGAAACCGTTGCTGTTTTGAGCCGAGTCTTGTAATAGTTTGTTACACAGTATGATGGGCAATAGTTGAATGATACACTAATAAAATGTGAGTGTGGCCTTCTAACAGTGCTGCCATAGTAAGATTCTACTAATGCCTGTTCTTAATCTCATTGAAGCTTTATACTAAAGATTTTACAGATAAAGAAACTAAGGCGCAGGGAAAGACTTGCCAAAAGGTCACAGAGTTTGGTAGATCAAACGCATAAGCCTCAATTTATTTCCTTCTGCTCCAAACACACTGAGGGACCATGAGAAAAGCAGGTAAAATCAGGGAGGGACCAGACAGAATTTAGGATGTTTCCACCAAATGCCACTTTAAAAGAGCGTGGCAATATTCTTGAAAAAAGGAAAGTTCAGGACAAATAAAAAAATGACCAGCTTCACACCCTGAAGTGTTCATGTATGGAACTTAGTATCTATGTTGTACAACTTCTCTAAGAAAGGTTTGAATAATTGCATTGTATCACTCCTATAATGAGGTAATAAGAAAAACAAGAACGTTTGTAGGGTTATCTTCAAGGTTAACTGCAAGGAGGAAAACCGCAGCCTCGCACACAGTGTTCCTAGGAGCCCTGGGAAGGAACACCAGGAGCGACCCCCCTCGGGACACCCTACGCCCACGACCGCCCTTCAGACAGCGCCTGCAACCAGGGAGCGCCCGCCGCGACTCCTGCAGGAGCTGGCCCGCTCAGGGAAGGGAGACGACCAAGAGACGACAACCAGCCCCCCATCTAAGCAAAGAGCCGTGCAACATTCTCTGACTCGCCCCCATCCCGAGGCTCTTCACCTCTAGGACCGGGTGCGAGGATTCTCTTAGTCCGAGAGCAAGCAAGGGCTCGGCCTCCCGGAAGAGAGAAAAGGGGTGGAGGGGGTTTTGTGGGGCAAAGGCAAGAGACGTGGAACTGCACAAGGGTGGGGTGGGGTGTCTCCTGCGAGCAGGAAATGTTGCAGAGCGCTCGTGCTCGCCTGCACACCCACAACTACACACACACACCTCCCCCGCTGGTTCTGCGGATGAGCAGCAAATTCCCGGAGAGGGCAGTGCAGCCCCAAAAGAAAACCCAGGGCCCAGCGACCACCCTGGCGGCGCCTGCGGCCTCCACGCCAGGGGTACGGGGCGCGAGGGACACGCGGGGCGCGGAGCACCGGGACCCGGGGCCGGAAGAGCCGCGCCCAGGCCCGCGGGCAGCCCGCAGAGGGCGCGGCGGGAAGCGAGCAGCCCGCGCAGAGCCGCTCTGACTGTACCGCCCCCGCTGCGGCAGCCGAGGGGCGGGGCGGGGCGGGGCGCGGCGTATATAAGGCGAGGGGCGGGCGCCGCTCTTTTGTCTCTTGCTGCAGCGACGCGAGTGGGGTCCGTTAGCCCGATCGAGGAGCGAAGGCCGAGGTGAGCGCTGCATGGAGCGGGGCCCCTTCGGGGTGGGGTCGGAGCCGGGACCCAGGCCGCTGCGCCGTCGCTGCCTTGGGGCCCTTCCCCGACGGGACTCCGGGCCGCCGGCCGGCCACGCCCTGGGGCTGCGGAGAGGGTGCGGGACGCGCCGGTCCCTGGCCGGGGCTGCCGGGACGCCCGTGGAGCGCCACGTCGGGAGGCGCGGGCGGGAGCGCCGAGGGGCACGCCGGCCCCGGCCCGGCCAACCGCTTCTGTTTGCCCACTAGGACTGTTTAAGAAAATGGCAGACAAGCCGGACATGGGGGAAGTCGCCAGCTTCGATAAGGCCAAGCTGAAGAAGACGGAGACGCAGGAGAAGAACACCCTGCCGACCAAAGAGAGTGAGTGCTCCCCCCCGGGGCCGCGGGCCGCAGCCCAGCCCCCACCCAGCATGCCTCCTCTTGGGCCGCCCCGGGTCCCCTTTCTGTTACACAAAGCGCTCTCTCCCTAGCCCCGAGCCTCTTTCCCGATCTCCGCGTCTCGTGGGTCCTCGCCCACACCTGGTGTGTAAGCGCCTCGGGTCGGGGGGGTGCAAGCTGTCCGCAACCCCAGTGCCCGCTCTCTCCACAGCCATTGAGCAGGAGAAGCAGAGTGAAATTTCCTAAGAACCTGGAGGACTCCCCATCCCCGTCATCTTTGGGATCCCAGTCGTGAGTGGAGAAAAAGCCACCCCACTTGCAAGATGGACACGAGCGACAAACTGCACTGTGAACCCGGATACTCCGCGCCCATGCCATCGGCCTGTGGGTCTCTGAGGGGACCCCCCCATTCACCCCCAATCGGACTGCCAAATTCTCCCTTTTGCCCTGGGATACTGTAGAAAATTATTTGTATGATTAATGAAAATAAAACACACCTCGTGGCATGGCTGGCGTGGTCTGAATGTTGGTGGGGTGTGCGTGGGCTCTGCTGCCGCCGCCAAGCCCCGGCGGAAGTCGGAGTTCCTGCTGTGGGGAGGGGATCGCGGCCGGGCCAGCTTGGCGGGACCGTTTCTAAGGTTTACTTCACCTATTTCTTCGTAAGATTTCATGAGTATTCGCTGGTTAGCTTTTGCTTCTGATGCTATCCATGTAAAGTCTAACTCCACTCCAGCATTCCTGGAAGCTGTTTTGGAAAATGCTTTTCAGAAGAGCAGGGTTTGTTTTTGATAAGCTTTTACAGCCCCACTGTTTCCCTCTGGCCTCCTCAAGGCTGATTGACACCGCAGAGAACAGTGATTTAAAGCCTGAGGGGAAAGGGGAAGAAGACTAAATCTGGAAGGTTGAATTGGGCGAGGTCACAAAGTCGCCAGGAGCCTCTCTTGGAACTTAAAGGGGAAGCATTAGAACAAAAAGGCGGGATCCGGGCGAACCAGAGCAGGAACGCCGAGACTAGAGTAACCAATACCAAGAAAAGAGGAGCTGTAATGGGGAGCCTAGCTTTTAACCCTGGTTCAGAAGCTTCTACAAAAGGGTTTAGCCATTAGAGGAAGTGCTGGCTGAGCCACGTCCCGTGCTGTGATCAGCGGGAAGAATGGGAATGTGGAGGGAGGGCGGGCCCTGGCTGCACAGCCGCACAGGGTCCCACCCTCTGGGCCCTAGGGGAAGAGGGGGGACCAGCGCTGAGGGGTGGGGGAGGGCCTGGGGCTGCAGGCCATATTGGAGCAGAACAGGATTGTGACTCCTGAGCGGTAGTTTCATTTTAAGGAGGGGAGGAATGGACAGATTACTTCGTGATTTGTCACACATTTTTATCTGACCATAAGGGGCTGGACACTGGGTGAAGGTTATTCAAATGAGGTGCAGTCTCAAATCCAGTGGGTGAGACTGGCAGCTATGGCAGACCACAGTCTGGGGACATCTAGGCTAAGGGAGCCACTGCCGGTTTTGCATAAAGGGGTAACTTGACAGACCTTGTGTTTTGGAGAGTAAGTGGTGAGGCTGGGGAGGAGAGAAGAAAGGAGAACACATTAGGATGCCCCTCAGGGAGAGACACTAACCTTTCCTGAGTGTCTGTTATTGGCCAGGCACTGTGCTAGGAGCTTTAGTTCTCAGAAACTATTAAGGCAGTATGGCCATTATCCCATTTTATAGATGGGGAAACAGGTTCGAAGAGATTAGGGGCGTGCTTAAAGTCACACAGCTAGTGAGAAGTGAAGCCAGAATTTCAGGCTAAGGGTGTGTTTTGGAAGATCCTATAGTTCAATGTTTGGAACATTTCATGACGGTTCACTACTTCAAGCATATTTATAGTTGACCCTATCGGGGGTCTATTGTTGGAAGGTTAAAGAAAAGAAAATGAGCCCCACCGGTGTGGCTCAGTGGACTGAGCGTCATCCCATGGACTGAGAAGACCCTGTCGGATTCCGGTTAGGGCACGTGCCTGGGTTTCAGACTTGATTCCCAATAGGGGTCATGCAGGAGGCAGAGGATTGATGTTTCTCTCTCTCATCAATATTTCTATCTCTCTCTCTCTAAAAAATCAGTTAAAAAAAAAAAAGAAAAGAAAAAGAAAGGAAACAAGAAATCACTACTGCTTTCCTTTTTTGTTTCGTTGTTAATCCTCACCCAAAAATATTTTTCCCATTGATTTTTAGATAGAGTGGAAGGGAGGGAGGCAGGGAGAGAGAGAGAGAAACATCTATGTGAGAAAGACACATCAATTGGTTGGCTTCCCACCAGGGCTGGGGATTGAAGGGATCGAACCCGCATCCCAGGTACATACCCTTAACGGGGAATAGAACTTGAGACCCTCCCATCTGAGGGCTGACACTCTAACCAAGAGCCAAACAGGTCGGGGCTCACTACTGCTTTCGAACAGCTGATGAGAAGAGCTTTGGAGGAAGATAAAGATGTGTAGGGGGCTTGTAATAGAATAAAATAATCAGTCTTTCTGATTCCACCTTGCTCGAGCCTGCTGAGTTTCCATAACACGTTGGTTAGCAACTTCTGCTTAGTCCTGCACATAGATAATCTAATCATTAAAGGAATATAACCTGTAGCCTAGGAATTACTGAAACAGCCTCATTGCTCAAAACTATTTCTCCAAGGAGATAAAGAAGGTATGTACAAAACTCATGACTGTTTATCAAAAGATTTATAGGAACCTAGTGCCTGGGACCATGGCAACCGCAGTTTGTTGACCAGAAGCAAAGAAGTTTCACCATCCCCCCTCCAACCCTTGCTGGCATCCAGATGTCTGAGGTCATCAATCACCTCCTGACCTAAAACCCCTCTCATTTCCCACTTCCCCCGACATAAAGGAATCCTGAATTCTGTACTTTCTCAAGACGGTTCTTTAAGACGCTAGTTGGTCTACCATCATCTTGGCTTGCTGGCTTTCCAAAAAAGTCACTTTTCTTGCCCCAACTCCTGTCACTCAACTTAGTAGCTGTGGACTTAGTGGCTGTTGTGTAGCAAGCAGTTGGAGTTTTCACTGATTCCAGGCTAAGAGTGCTGGAGTGAGGAGTGATTGGGAATGTCACGACAATTTTCAATCGAAATGGTCATGAAGGATGGCCAAAGGGGTACGGGGGTGGTGTAAAGGAGAGCTTGGAACAAAGATCTAAAGAATGTGATGAGGCCCTGGCCGGTTTGGCTCAGTGGTTGAAGCGTCGGCCTGCAGACCAGAGTCCCAGGTTCTGTTCCCGCTAGGGGCATGTACCAAAAAAAAAAAAAAAGAATGTGATGAGGCCTTGACAAGGTTAGAATGTGGTGAAGGCCTCTCAGAATGAACAAAAAGCTGGAGTGGAGTTAGAAAGAAGTAGGGAGAGGAGGTGTGAGAGGGCAAGAGATGGAGAAGACAAATCTTGAAGTCCTTGAAACTTGCAAGGTCGATTGCCGAGGGGTCCTCCTTCCCCCTTCCCCAACTCCGTAGGTGCCCCTCATGGTCCCTCAGTGTCCTGCCTGGGCACACCACACCCAAGGCCTCTTCTAGACCCAACCTCCTCTCCAGGGCTCCATCTGGGATGCAAATCCCAGGGCCTCTTCCGTCAGATCCCACAGACTCCTCGACCCCAATGGGCTCATACCAGACAGCAATTTCAGAGCCCCATCTCCTGGAATCCTTGTACCTTCAGAAGATTCCCATGACTTTCTCACCCCCTCCCCAGGAAATCTTCTCTATTCTGAGGTTGTGGGCGCTGATGAGAGCTTTGCTCTTCCTAAGAATTTAAGAAGACACAAGCCAGGAGGAGACTTCAGGGCACTTTAACTTTTTCACTCTTAAGACAATGAGCCAATTGGATGGCTCCAAGACAGGTCAGGAAAGGGGATGCAGATAGGCGAGGAGGGTTCCTTATTTCCGAAATCCTATCAGGCTACATTGACTTATAAGGTAAAGCTGGCCTTCCCCAACCCATCCTGACTCTGGAGCTGTATGCAGGTGTGCAATTCTACACATTTAAGCCCCCAGAAGCTAGGCCCAAAAGGTCAAGCACTGACCAAGAGAGCCACCCTCCTGGGCCCCACCTGTGAATGATTCCAAGGGGTCACATGGGAATCACAGTGGAGGCAGCACCAGAACTGGAGCTGGAGTGTCAGAGAACACTGAGGCATCCCAGGTCCGCTCTTTTCTTCCCTCCTCCCCACCTAGTGTGTACCACATGCTGCTCAATGTGCTGGAAAAACAGGTGGAAGACAACTCAGGGAGCACATTCCCAGAGTAAAAGAGGACCCAACCTTTCATGCCAACACTTCCCAACCCCCAGATCGCTCTCCCACCCTCCCCTTCTCTCCGCATCAGGAAAACACCTCCTTTCCTCAGACAATATCAGGTGCTTCAGTTCCCAACCTTCCCCCACCTTCTCCTGTCAATTCCCCTGAATAGGAACATCCTTACTTCACTCCTCACACCAAATGTACAGGAAAAAACTCTTCTGTTTCTCCTGTACTACAACGCTCTGCCCACAGAATACTGTACTTCAGGTCACCAAGCAATTCTCTGGTTCTCCAAACACCAGCTGGGTGTCCCACAATTCAGTTCAGCTCTGATACCATCTACCTCTAGTTAGCATCAGATCCTACAGGTTAAGGACTCAGTTCCACAAGACTGCCTCTTCCCCCCGCCAATCACAAGTCCAGCTTGACAGTATGCATCTACTAAAGCTGAACATAAGGAGCCCAATGACCCAGCAACACCATGCCCAGTTATATATCCCAGAGAAATAAGTGCCTGTGTCCACTGTAGGACATGTTCAGGAATGTTCTATGCAGCTTTATTCATATTAGCCAAAGAGAAAAACAACTGAAATATCCCTCAACAGAAAGGATGGACAAATTGGCGTATTCACACAGTTAATCATCAAATTACTCAACAATAAAAAGGAACCAAGTACTGATATCTAAAAGTGTATGATTCCACTTCCATGAAATCCTAGAAAAGGCAAAAATAATCTTGATGATAAAAGTCAACAAAACCTCTGGGGGATGAAATGCTGTATACCTTGATCAGAGTGATAGTTACGGGGGGTATGGAACGTGTAAGAAAACTTGAGAGGTATACTTACAATTAGAACTCACATGCACTTCACTGTATATGTGTTTTACTTCAATAGAGAGGTTTTTTAATCCCAAAGACAGCTAAAGATTTCACACAAAAAAATTTTTTTTTTTTTTCATTTTAAAGAGAGAGGAAGGGAGAGACAGAGAGTGAAACATTGATCAGTTTCCTGACCGGAC